CTTTTCTGTCCTGTAGGCGGAGCCAGGAATGACATGGCGTGTCAAGTGCCTGGGAACAAAATAGCTCGGGGATGCATTGGTGACTTAAACCGCCAGTACACGGGGCCATCCTTGCAGAAATTGTTTTGTCACGGTCTCCGATAATTTTGCGCCTCGGGTCTATGAAAATGAAATAACGTGTGCTGATGGCGTTTTGGAAAAGTAAGTTTGGAGCACAGTGCAGCGCCTCCAATCCCGGGTGTATTGGTGGTTTAAACCTCAAGTACACAGGGGCCCGGATACGCTCCACAGCGTGCGAAGCTTCACTTGACTGCCAGTGACACACTTTTCGTTTTGGCTGGCGCCGCCAGCCATTGTCGTCTTGTAAGCCAAGGCGCAAAACTTTTGGAGTCAGCGCTCAAACAGTTTCTGCAAGTCTGGGGCTGTTTACTGGCAATCGTAGCTGCTTGTGTAATCAGGCTTGGCATCTCTATGCAGCACAGAAGACAGCCATCTTAACTGGAAAATGATGTGCGGGTGGTATGCACGAGTATTATTCCTGGACACTGTGCACAGATATAATGCCTTTCCTTTATATATTCATTCACAGGGTCCCCGCCTTCTACTCAGAAAATAGTAGCACCTTTGGAAAAAAAGCTCTGCAAAAAAGGTATGTAGTGTAGATTCGCAATGAAAGAACTTCTTCCTGAGGACGACTTCAGAGCTATCTATCTATATCTATCTATATCTATCCTATCTATATCTATCTATATCTATCTATATCTATCTATATCTATACTCCTTCTAAAGACTGGAGCTTGTCTCGTGTGATGGTACGGCCAGGCCCGGCTGCCTGCGTTGGGAAAATTGCCATTACGCCTTGGGGCCCTGTGGCGCCTGGCGTGTTTTGGAGCCCGCCGTCACAGGTTCAAATGCACAAAAGTCAAAATATGATGTTGCACCTCTTTTGCACTTTCGACGGGCTCCCTCCCACTACCTACCATGTTCCAACGGAATATTCGTTCTCATGGGCCTCGCTGCACTACATGCACAGATGACAAAAAGGCCGGGGATGTATCTTTCCATCTTCTGGCAGTGGATTCGGTCCCATTTTACACTTTTGGTGGGTCGTGGAGTCAGGTCCCCATACCTCCACTTCTTTTCTTTTTTTTCAAAACTACGCTGCACCTCGATTCAGCCCATTTTGCACTTTTGGTGAGTCGTGGAGCGAGGCTCTCATTGTTGCACTTTTTTTTTCGTTGCACTTTTTTTGCACTTTTGACGGGCTCCCTGCCACTACTCACCCAGTGCACAAAATGTAAATGAATCTTTGCGTAGAACATGGAAAGATACACTGCTATCTACTTTATTTTATGTGCACATGGTGGGCAGTGGAGGGAGGCCGATGACACATAAATTGAGAAAGATACATAGCCAAATTTTCTCTCTGAGGTCTTGAGATGTGATCATAGAACTGACCGGCCCCTATTGTGGTATTTTCCTCGTCTGCTTCGACCGGAGTTCGAACTCAGGTCTGTATTTTGATGTTTCGGGGTTGTACCAACCGAGGGCGTACTCGTACTGCCACTATCGTAAAAATGTACCGGACCGCATTTACGGCCGGACTTGTATGCATCTGGCCGCAATTCCATCCAGAAACAGCTCGTGTGGGTATGCCGTGAGCTACGCCAGTTGATAGCTGATGCGCTCCGGTTGTACTTCGCAGTTTTTTTTTGTTTTTTTAACTTTTTTAAAGTTTTTTTCCTTTTTGGGTAAAAACAAAAAATGCTTAGTGTTCTGGGGTCGCTATACCGCCCTCTTCCGTGACATGGCCCTCCTTCGCCTTTGTGAGTGTTGGAACAGCTGTAAGGGGCCTGAGTGCGGTATGGTGCAAGAGGAATTCAGAAATGTCTTAGTGCTGTGAATTTTCCATATGATGATATTATGACGTGAATATTGTGGTCAGCTAGTCTGGTATTTCTGGTATTGAGATTCAAAAAGACAATTCTGGACGTGAACGTTGTGGTCGGAGTGTGTTAGCTAAGGCATGGAACTCCAGATGCCTAAAAGTGACATACAGCAAGGAAATGAACTGGGCACTTCTCTGTTCCAATGAGATGTAGTTTCCAAATCATCAATCAACTATAGAAATCAGCTGTGATGGCAGTGATGAGTATCTTATTCACAGCATTAATTAATTAATTTATTCCTTTGGGCATTTAACTTTACATTCCTGGCCGCAATTTTTGACTTTTCTAATTACCGAAATTGTCAGGTTCTGCTGGTTGGAACCGTGGAGCCCTGATGATTTCGTCTAAATAATTGCGGAAAAGTGCGGCCAGGAATGTCAAAAGTTAAATGCTTAAGGGAGTAGTATGTTTCTTGCAGGCTTGTGCCACACACGTATGCATGAGGGATATATATTGTCGTCTTCCGACCCAAGTTTGAGAATAATTTGTTTCATGTTATGCTGTGTATATTTGTTTTGGGTTCTGTACACACATCAGGTGAAGGTTTTGCGAAGTTTTTGTTGTGGAGTGTCTTCTGACTCTTTTTCGTTTTATTTTAATTAAAGGTTGATCTTTCATGTGTCAATTTCTTGATGTTTGAGATCATCATATACTGAACTGATAATTGTTTAGCTCGGTGTTTTCCAGTGCAACGGATTCGCCCGTGGATCTTTTTGCGGTGCATGCCATGCGCGAGAACTCAAACCCAGGCTGGTGTGCATTTACGGATGAGGAGCGATTGGAGACTGAGGCCTCTGTGTCAGCTACGTCGACTTCCCCCAGGTTAGTTACCGAGGGTGTTACTTTCGTTTCCATGTGAAGGAGCGAACTTGTTTCTCTGCCAGGACTTGCGCGTTTCTGTTGGAAGTAGTGACACAGACGTTGGCGACGTTGGCGTGAATAACGAGTTCGCTACTTCACACGAAAATGTCTCTCAGAAAACTCGTGATGGTGTGGAAACACTTGCTGGAATGACACCTTGTGCTGGTCTCCACATGATTTCTGGTCTAGATTCCTTGACAGTCTTTGGGGGGGGGTTGCTCATGGATATCAACCGGAAATGGTTTGCTACCTCACCGCTGTGGGCCGTACTGTCTTGGCCTAGGGTCCGGAACAGGCATCCGGATTTCCGGACAGGTTGTGAATGGCCTGTCGTTTTGTCTGTCCTTGTGGTGGATAATGCAGGGCATGGCTGCACAAAGCCAGAGCTGTAAGAATCTGTTGGTTTTGGTCCTAAGCAGATGGGCAGGGGTATTTGTAGTAGGGAATACCAATGGAGGTATTGGTCGTCGCACTTTCGTCAACATCAGCAGCAGTAGTGGTTGGCTGTGTGTGGAGAAGGGGGGCAGCTGTGGGTGCAGTAGGTGGGGTGNGGGGGGGGCTCTGTGTGCAGTAGTGTGATGGCTGTGGGTGGACTAGGGGGGCATCTGCGAGTGGTGTATAGGGGGAAGAAATGGAGCTGAAGTGGGTGCAGGGGAGGCTGCTAGGTAATTGGTGGTAGGAGAGATACCGGAGCTGTGATGTTGTCAGTATCTGTTGCGTCACAACTGTAGCAATAGTCGCAATAGTATTTCTTGCCCTGGTATTGGCTGTACTGTAGCGGTGGTGATAGAACTGATTTCAAAATATGTGCCACGTCTTGCCAATCATGGACATTATCGATTTGTTTGCCTTTCCAGTCAGGCTAGAAACGGCCTTCTGTTTCTTTGTTACCTTGAGGTGGGGTTAGCCAGGGCAGGGCTGTACATAGTCAGAGCAGTCGGTCTGATCGCTTTGTGGTAGGTCTGGGATGCGGAGGCTGGGGAGGGCTGAGATATCCACGTTCTGGTATTGGTAGTAGGTGCTGCCTCAGCAGCAGCAGTAGCAGCACTACGCAGAGGCTGTGGGTCAAGGGGGAAGGGTTGGCATCGGTCGTGTTGCACATGCTGTCAGGGTTATCAGTAGTAGGAGAGGTATAGGTGAGTGGAATAATAGAAGTTGCTGCTGCGAGGGGGGTATCAATAGAGGGTGAGGTATTATGTCATCGGTGGGATGGAAGTTATCGCTGCCAGGGGTATTAGCAGCAGGAGAGGTATTATGCCGGTGGTATAGAAGTTGTTGTTCCCTCCAGGGGTATCAGTAGTAGGAGAGGTATTATGCCAGTGGGATAGAAGTTGTTGCTGCTGCTTCAGAAGCAGCAGCAGCATTAGTCCTAGCAGTGGTGCTGTAGGATTATAGTGGTGGGTAGCAATGCAGGATGTTTTCAAACACTGGATACGGTCACGTTAAGAAGTTTTCAGTAGCCAGTGTAATGTGGCTATTCAGCAAGCCAAAGCCCTGGCAATGGCTGGGAGGATGCCATGCTGCACCCACCTGGGACTATATCCATAGAAAACGTGAGCTATTGATACCCATGTGAGAGGACGTCATCCCTGACTGTTGTTTTTGTGGACTCGTGGCACTATAGCATGGCCGAAGGCGCAGGAATAATATTTTCTGACAAGTCTTTATGGCATGCAAATATTTGATTTTGTAATGGAGTTGTAGGGTGTCTACTTTTCTTGTACTTTGATAGGTGTGTGTTGCTCCGGAACGTCCTCTTGCATGGTGGACTCGGTGCAAATATCTATTTTTTCCACGTGTTCAGTTGCTGAATCGGTGCCATGTTTTCTAGTTTTTCAGTACGTCCTGGCTTCCTCCCAGCTGTTCACGTTGGGAATCCCGTACTAACTTCAACTTTGCTTGTTATATGGCGATGGTTATTACAAGGCATCTACCAATCCGGTCATTCATGCAAGTTTTCTTCTGATTAAGAACGGTGGTGGTATGGTATATATGTCTTCTTTTTTTTCCGTGTTTGAGCAGCAAGGTGCCCGTAAGTCTCAGCTCTCCTCCGGGTTCGCCCACTCAGGACAATCACGGATCGGACAGGAACAACAATAGCACGCTTGCTGACGAAATAGCGTTGCCAGAGAGTGCTGAAAGCAGAGATGGGACTTCTGTTCCGGGGGATTTTGATGATGTGATTGTGGAGGACCAGATGGACACAGGCACTGCGAATGCGTCAGGACAGCAACCTCTCGTTTCATCTGCGCAGTCAGAATCAATGGCCGTGGGAGCTGTACATGGAGCAATGACTGATGGGCCACAGGAAGATTGTGGGCCCGGAGAAAATCATTCTGGCGAACCTGCAGGGGTTGTGGGGAAGAACTTGGACATGGACTTGGAAGGGTCTGTGAAAGTCTTTGAGGTGGTTCCAAAAGACCCAGAGTGTACCGTAGTGCAAGGAAATGCTGCGGAAAACAACCCCTTTGGTAATGACATCTTCGGAGGCTCTTCATTCCAGGCTGTTCCTTGTCCAGCGGATGCGGCAAACGATACTCCGAAATTGCAACGGGAGAACAGCATCGAGGGAAAAACAGGTATCTCTGTGGACTCCTCTCTAAATGTCTCCAGGACAACGGACGAGGTTGATCCTCGATACAATGATACCAACTTCTGGCGAAGTAACTATCTCAAGGACGAGGAGATGACATAGATTCGAACTTTTAGCGGATAGAGGCAGGCTTTGTGGGCCAAGGAAGTATGCCGCAGCTGGATTGCAGCAGCATCCGAAGCTGAAGCAGCAGCGGGCGAGCTTCTACTTCTCACGTGCTGCCTTACGGCGGAGGAGGAATCATGTTGCTTTTAGTTTGGCGGGCAGCCTACATTGAGTGGCCGGGGGGTCGATGTTGAGGATTGTGTGATGGTTGCGGATAAGTCGCTCTTTTTCAGGTACAAATGGGGAAAAGCATCATGTCCACACTGGCGCTGAGTATTCAAGGTCGCCAGACTGAAAATGGTGGGGGCTCAGTTTATCCTGACTTGCCAGTGCAATCCCAGATCAGCAGTCAGGGTTGATTACATACTCTGGGTCGACGGGGAGAGAGAGTGAATCATGTGGTATGGTTAATGTCCTACGGGTGGGTATTCATAGAGAGAAAAGTCTAGGGTTACGTACTGCTTTCGCTGAGCTAGGAAAGGATGTTTCGGGTAGAGAGAGAGAGGATTATAATCTGGGAAGCACCTGGGTGCTTCGGGTAAGGGGGGGAGTTGAGAGCGCGGCAAATTTGAGCCGAGTTTCTTTTTGTGTTTTCTATTCATGGAAAGGGGGTTATTGAATGGCATGCGCTTGGCATTATATCATACAAGGATGGGACGATGGTGACACTGCTTGACAGCTCTTCTATCAGACAGGCGACTCTGACTCCCATCTCCTCCCTTCATATCGTGTTTCTTCAGTGTTTGGGCCATATTTGCTCTCTATTCTTTTGGTGATACGTGCATCTGGTGCGGGAGAGGGTGCTTTGAATATGTGGTCAGGCATAGTTTCAGTATACCGCAGCACGGATGTTTGGCTGGCTGGCAGGCAGGCAGGCAGGCAGGCAGGCAGGCAGGCACAAGGTTGTCCCGGTAAGTGGGAGATGATAACAGGGTAAAGGGCGGTGGGGGGGGGCGGGGGCAGAGTAGAGTGGGGAAAGTCTGGGCTGTGTTGGTTTCTCCGCCTCAAGGTGGGAACTTGGGCACGAAATGAAGCTACGGCTGAGGTTCAAGCCGGGGTGATCGAAGTTAGATGAGGGGGGGGGGGGGGAAGAAGGGGGACAGCGGCATGGGGAAGGGTGGGTTCTATATTCCGTGGTTGGAAGGAAGGATAGTGTTCTATTGGCTTGTCTGAATGTGTTAAAATGTTGTTCAGCAGCATGCAAAAGTTTATTTTAATACGCCTGCCTGTACTCTTCGTACCTCTCGCTCTCTACTGTTAGATGTCCGTGCATTCATTCTTCTCTCCTTCACAACGCCGAGCATGTATATGGCTGGACCCCCCCTCTGCCTTATCTTTTTTTTCAATTTCTCTCGATTCTCTTATTAGCTTTCTTCGTCTGACCCCCTGCCCTTTTTTCTGAATTTCTATCGATTCTCTTATTAGCTTTCTTCGTCTGCCCTCCCTGCCCTTATGGTCTCCGTTTATGACCATTGTTTTGATCGTTGGTTTCTTTGATATTTATTATGTATTCTGCGTGTAGGCACGTTAAATGCCCTCGTCTCTACAGCTCCATGCCACACGCGCTTGCATCACATTTTGTGTGCCAGCATATGATGGCTATAGAACCTGGTATTTTGCTTCAGGGCAACCCTGGTGTTTGCGAAAACAATTCAAAGAGGTCATTTGTTTGAGACACTCTGGATTTGGAATTTTTTCAATAAAGTAACCACTTTTGATTGTCTTGCATGTGCTGCTCTCCTTGCCAAGTAAGCAAGATCATCTCTGAAGCCAGCAGCCGTCAATGGATCCTAGCGCATAAAAAATATGGAGCATTCACCACAAAGGATGTGCAGTTCGCTGCTTGTTCAACTTCTGCGGAAGGAGATACTGTTTTTCTGTACACTGTCAGTTTTCATGTTGGTAAAAGAACTGTTGCTCTCTCTCTCTCTCTCTCTCTCTCTCTCTCTCTCTCTCTCTCTCTCTCTCTCTCTCTCTCTCTCTCTCTCTCTCTCTCTTCGGTGTCCTCTGGTGGAGGCTTTGCTTGTTCAGAAAGCACTGCGTGGGTTGCTAGGATACTCGGCTTCACGCTCTGGTGATTTGGTTGATTACCCCTGCCTACGTACTTGTGGAGAATTCGTCATCTCCATGAGGGCTGTGCGCATTCATAACAAGCTTGCTTGCTTGGACATCCCAGGAAGCCCTCGTGTCCTGTCATTCCAGCATACCTCGACGTTTGTATGATTGTACAGTCAAACAGCATGATATGTTCTGACTTGAAGAAAGGGAACAGCGTGAATAGAGAACCCTGGTGATGGATGAAGAACTGTGCTGTCATGCGAGTGAAAAGTCTTGATGTCCAAGCTCACTGCAGTATCAGTTGTTATGGCTTTGTCTGTAGTGTACACGTGGCATGTTATGCCAGGCATTATGCTTCTGTACCTGTCCAGTCCTCAGGGAAAGGGCCATTTGGATGGTGCTGGTTTGAAATAGTGCCGAGATAAATTATGCTGACGGTCTCTAAATGATTGGTCGAACTGTGTTGTTATGTGATCGAAAAAAAAAGACTCACTGTCCAAGATCTCTGCTGTATCAGGTATCGTGGCCAGGTCTGTAATGTACACGATCCAGGCTATGTCCGCCCAGGATGCTACTGTACCTGGTCACTTCCTAAGCCCAGGGCCATTTGAATGGTGATGGTGTGTAATCGTTCTAAGATTTTTGGAAGGCCGTGGATTCTGAGCTGTGTACTCAAATGAAGTGGTCTCCAGCTGCTCATGGGCTCTATGGGCATCTTATGATGCATTATGAATGTATGATCCTCCATATGCAACTAGCTTGAAGATTGCTTTTTCCATGCGAGTTCACCTTTTTGTTCGCACGAATCTGGTCGAAAATTTCACCGAGATACATTTGTGCAGGCGGCGTTTCTACTACAGCGATGGGTTTGAGGCCCCCCATATGCGTGTGAGGGGTCCATGGTGGGGCACAACCTGCCATGTTAATGTTAAAGAATTCTAAGTTAGATATTGTAACATCTATCTATTGCTGTGTTTTTCATTGGCAGTGAAATGTCCAATAATCATGGAGTTGCCTTCTCCATGTCTCACTTATACGACATTTCCAGATGTTGCCTTCCTCCCCTCCCCCCCCAAACCACCCCCCAACTCTTTAATTGAATCCAGGAAAACCGTGCTTGCAATCATGAATTTTGTTTCTGAAGTTCTGTGGGTTTGAAACCTTTTGCCGTGTTTCCTGCCATGGGTCTTGAGATTTTTCTTTAATTATTCCTCTCCTCCTCACCC